ACACAAGCCACGAGCAATTTACTAGAGTACCTTTTATCTCTCTATCGGGGAAAGGTCAAGAACCCCTCACAATCACTATGATCGGGGCCGGAGACAATGACCAACCTCCGCTCGATGATCCTCGTTGCTCCAAGCCATCTAGGTGGCGGCAACCACCAAGAGTAACAAGCCAAACCCACAGCGAACACGAACACCAAGTGCCTCTAGATGCAAACACTCAAGCAATGCACTTGGATTCACTCCCAATCTCATAAGGATGATGAATCAATGATGGAGATGAGTGGGAGGGCTTTGACTAAGCTCACAAGGTTGCTATGTCAATGCAAATGGCCAAGAGAGTGAGCTTAAGCCGGCCATGGGGCTTAAATAGAGAGCCCCCATGAATAGAGTCGTTGGTTCCTCTATCCAGGGAAACATGGGCTGACCGGACGCGCCGGTCAATTGACCGGACGTAGGACCCCAGCGTCCGGTCGCCCGATGCTCGCCACCTGTCATCAGCCTCAAATGTTGAGCGGTCGATCTTAATGGCTAGTCTACTTTGCGCCACCTGTTAAGTTACAACTGGACACATTGCTTAAGCTGACCAGACGCTCCATCACTGGAGTCCAGTCATTTCCAGTAAGGCACCAAAGCCGGGGTTTTTTGACCGGACACGTCCGGTCCACCATGACTGTATGCGCCGGTACGTCTGCTCCTCCTCCTCTTCTCTGCGTGCTGCCTCATCAGCAGGACTGGACGCTGAACAGTGTTCAGTCAGAGTTCGGTCACCTACGTCCGGTCTCAGGCCGAGAGTAGCCCGAGCACACCACTGGATTTATAAATGATCGGACGCTGCTCCCCCGAGTCTGGTCACCACGTGATTGGCATCCGATCACTGTTTTTCAGTGACTATCACCTCCTTCACTTCACCAACTTCTCCACCCTTGCTCAAATGTGCCAAACACCAAGTGTATTATCTTGTGCACGTGTGTTAGCATATTTTCACAAATATTTTCAAGGGTGTTGGCTCTCCACTACATTCTAAATGCATATGTAATGAGTTAGAGCATCTAGTGACACTTTGATAACCACATTTCGATACGAGTTTCACCCATCTTAATAGTACGACTATCGACCCTAAATGTGATCACACTCACTGAGTGTCTCGATCACCAAAACGAAGAAGCTCCTATCAAGTTTCACCTTTGCCTTGAGCTTTTTATTTTTCTCTTTCTTCTTCTCCAAGTCCAAGCATTTAATCATCACCATAGCATCACCATCATCATGATCTTCACCGTTGCTTCACTACTTGGAATAATGCTAGCTATCTCATGATCACTTAGATGAACTAGGTTAGCACTTAGGGTTTCATCAATTCACCAAAATCAAACTAGAGCTTTCAGGCTTCCCCAAGCGCGGGATCGGCACGGTCGTGGTTTCCCGGCACTGCCATGCCTCCCCAGTGTTGGATCTGGCTAGCCCTGGCATGGGTAGCTTCCCCCAGCGCGAGATCGATGAGCAGCCCAGCGCGGCCATGGTTCCCCGAAGCCCCTCCCCAGCAGGACCTCCCTGCAAGCGGCCCTCATAGGCACCTCCCCACGATGTCCCTCACCCGCGGCGCTCTCGTTCCCTTGCGATGGTGTCGATGGCCGAGTTCGTCGATGTGGGCTCCACATATCATTTTGGCTATTAAACTGAAGTTTAAGAGCCACGATTTGGTAGTTAGGCTAGGTTGGAAGGAAAACTTAGGTAGTATGAAAATAGATAGGCGTGGCTACCTAAACAGACAAATAGATAGTCTGATTTAGGTATTGCTGGAGATGCTCTTAGATGGAGCTAAGATAGAGATTAGTAAGGTTAAAAAAAGATAGAGATTAGCAAGGAATCGAAGGGGGCAGCGAGAATAGGAGGCACAAAGCTATTGAACAAAGGAGGAAGATGACTTTTCCGTTCCGTTCTTCCTATCGTTCTGATTCTACCTGTGATGTCTTAACCAGTTAACCCCCTCGCTTCTGTCTCGGCAAAAGTCTCCAAAGCAGGGGCAGAGCTAGGTATCTGGCAAGCTCTGGCAGCCGCCATACCTATAATCCGTATAAAATACTGAAGATATGTAGTATACGTACATGATATATGTTGATGCATACTGTTCCGTGGGTTCCGGTGGCTGGGTTGGTGGGCTCAATGTTTATGACAATTAACAAACCCAACAGAGGAGGGTAATCTGTCCAGCACAATATTTCTCGTTTTTTTCTCTCTATCTATCTATATATTTATTATATATAATAATAAAGACGCAAAATTTCTTACCATTTTTTTCATCCATTCATTTTTTTCGTCCACCACCTTCTAACTAACTCTGTGATGTTTATAGCTCTCCTGATTTATATGATAGGTTCAGGATAACTACAAATCCAAATCCAAATAGAACTCTGCGATATCAAATAAGCTGAATAGGAATCCTAATCTCTATCTAATATCTAAATCTATCTAATACCTAATATTAAGCCTCCAATCCTGACTAACCTAAATAGAAATTCTACTCTACTATATCTTCCAATATATTTTATTATAATCTATTTTTCCATTCTACCGTGTTCTCTTTTTTTCAATTCCCTTTTCACACAGCCCAAAAACGTCCTCCTGTGCATCCTACATCCTCAAATTCCCGTCGGTTCCAAGAGCCAAGGAAAAACACACCTGATATCTGACTAGGAGTCGTGACCGAATAAGGAGAGGGAGAAGAGTCCGATCCAGATGAAGAACGAGTTTCTTCTTCATCCATTTTTATTTTCTTTTCCAATCCATCGCTTTATCTATATTTATATCTATATCTATATCTATATATATACCTTACCTAATAATAAAGAGACAAAATTTCAGCCTATTTTTTCGTCCATACATTTTTTTGGTCCATCTCCATCTAACTACCGGACAATGAAGAGTATTTTTGTTTGGACTTATTTATATAACCCATGTTCATACGAGTTAAAATAGCTCGCGTCTAAACCAATATGGAGTAGGAATCTTAATCTAAATAGATTCCTTGGATCCTGAGTACTCTAAATAGAACTCTTAATAATCAAATAGAAAAGGATAAGAATTACCTTCTTTATTTTGCTCCGCTTTCTTTATTTAGTTCTCTGTCAAAAGATAGGCAAAAATATCACATCCATGTGTTTCTTATTTTATATTCTCAGTCCGTTTACAAAGGAAGCAAACTCCAACCTCTGTCTCTTTTTCTTCAAGCTTATAGAGTCCGAATATTTTACAGGAACCATCTTTCTAAATATTTTTGTGCAAATATTACGTAGTAGTAACACGTTCGGATTCGAACTCCAGCGGAACGACAGAGATATATGGTGTATATAGACCGAGACAACATATATGTATGATAATATAGATATATCACGCCGTATCATTATTGTTATTTTGTCAGTTTGATTTTATTGATTGAAGCTCATCAGGCGCATTAATTTACCTTCAGATTCAGATGCAATGAGCGGCGGCATGGTGTACTGGTACGACCTCACGACGTTGAAGAGAAAAGGCAGCGGGGCACGAGCACGACCATGGCCAACGCGGCGTCGTGGTGCGCATGCCAGATAACAAGCGTGGCGTGCGCCGCGCCAATGGCACTGTGCTCATAGCCAGCGGCAGCCTCCGCATCGTCGACAGGAGCACCTTTCGCCCAGGCGACATCATCGCGTAGGAGTCGGACGTCGGTCGCCAAATCGAGGTCGTCACGAGAGTCTCTAGGGCGCTCGACCTGGTTCACTTTGACGACGGACGACGCCGGCAGCAGGGTGTCCTGTCGAGGCCATCGGAGTAGCTCCGCCATGACACGGGACTCATCTTGGGCAACTACGTCGTGTCTACCCCATGGCTCGACTGGGTCGCCGAGGTGTCCCTCTAGGTGGACATGGCGTTCAATGACGACGCACTTTGCACACTGGCATAGCGCAAACTGGTAGGAGACCAAGCAAAGGATGTAGGAGGACAATTAAAAGCACGACATGCGGAATGGCCGGCAGACAATCAATATCTTGTAGCCGAGGCAGCACGTCGTCGGCAACTACCTGTCAATCTCCCAGGCGTCCCGATAGATTAAAGGCTACTGGAGGCCAAGTCGCATCAGGGGCGCCAGTCTCCAGAGCAGACGTCGCTAGCATGCTCGTGCACTGGGTCGCCTCCATGCATCTGGGAACCAACAAGACGCTTACCCAGGCCACGAGTGCTACCACATAAGTTCTGGCCTAGACTGCCTGAAGACACTTAGTGCGTGTTGCCATGGCCGCTCCTGCATGAGCGTTATTCCGCGGTGCAGTGCCGGCACAGTTGCGCACTGTGGCCATCACAGTATCGGCCTAGGTTGCCTGGCCATCGTCAGTGACACCATGCGCACGTGGTGCCGTGACCGCAGGTTCGTCCCACCTCGCTGTGGCCGTAGTGTCTCGCGTGCGGCTCTGCCGTAAAACAACGCACGGCCATATTTGCTAATAACAATCTATAATAGCCTGATCGATACTTAAATAGTCGGAGTAGATGATAAATTGAATACCAAATCATCTATGTAATCTTCATTTAGTGAGGTATTTTAGGTGTCAATGCTTTACTATTGGATTTGTAGCATATATTTATATTTACTATCACAAAGTAATATATCTTTATGTAATATTTTAGTGGATCCTTATATAATTTCGCTATACATGTTTGAATTTTATAAACCCCGCTATACCTGAAAGTTATTCCTGCCTCCGTCACGGCCAAAGCAAGCTCTGAAGCCCATCATTGAGGCCCACATGTACATGACGATATCACGGTTAGCTCATGTTGAGTGAAAAACGTACATGAAGACGAATGTTGCATCCGGCAACTGGCCATTGAAGTCTGCTGCTGACGCACTGCTAATAAATCAGTCAAGAGATCAGATTAGCCCGAAGCGAAAAGACGCACACCGCACACGGCTCCTTCCTCCAGAGCATCGCTAGCTGCAGCAGACGACACCCCACGACGACGTCATCATGCCCGTCGCCGCGGCCTTGGACCGAACCGACGAGCTCCGCGCGCTGGACGCCACCCTCGCCGGCGTCCGCGGCCTTGTCGCGTCTGGCGCGAAGCAGGTTCCTCGAATCTTCCGCGTCCCCTACCCGGAGGAGCTACAGCTACTCCACCACGAACAACCGCCAGCGGCGGCGAGGGCGACCGTCCCGGTGATCGATCTCAGCGGCGGCGACCGCGCAGCCGTGGTGGGCGCCGTCCGCGGGGCGGCGGCGGAGTGGGGGTTCTTCCAGGTCACGGGCCACGGGGTGCCCGGGCAGGTGATGTCAGCGGCGGTGGCGGCGATGCGGGCGTTCCACGAAGCCGACGGCGGGGAGGGCAGCGACAAGGCGCGGCTCTACTCGCGGGAGCCCGGGAAAGCGGTCAAGTACCACTGCAACTTCGACCTGTACCAGGCGCCCGTGGCCAACTGGCGCGACACGCTCTACCTGCGCATGGCACCCGATCCTCCCGTCGCCGACGAGCTGCCGGAGATCTGCCGGTGAGCATATCCTCTCTGTATCTGTATAGATAGTCTGCCTGTGCTGTACTGCCCTCTCCATAGCCTGCCGGAGATCTGTACTGCCCTCTCAGAGATCTGCCGGCGCTCGGCGGTGTCTAAGTCAAGGCAGGGTTGCGATTTGTCAATCACCTGGCTTTAAAATATTGTTAGGAGCAACCCTTAATAAAATGAGCATGATTAGATCATTCCTGATGTGGCGATCCTGTATGTCGCATGTGCTTGATAAAATTAACAACAGGAATGAAATGGGTAATAAACTAGTACGCTGGGAACATATTCGCTTTGACTTGCAAGCAAATTAAACAGGCTTTAATGTAGAAATTTTAGGTGTTGTTTTGGTTAGAGGAAGAGTGTGGTTGATGGCTTTGATACGTTGATAGTTCCAAGCACACTATCGCTCGTGCTAGCCTATCCATCACCCGATATAAATATACTATAAAAATATATCTTATGACAAAACTAATAATAAATATTAATATTTTTTTATATACTATTAATCAAACATAAGACACTTTAATACTTTAGAATTGTTTTTCTATTTTATTAAACAAACAATAGATGAGTTGCCGATTATATTAAATAGAAATTGTATTTTTTTTTACTGGAGGGAGGAGTACTTGTATGCTGATAATACTAGTCATATATTTGTTGAATAAATATAGACTATTTCTAACTTCTAAATAATAAAATAATTCCGATACTTTGTTAACACTTTTAATTGTTTTTATTAAATAATACTCTCTTTATTCACAAATAATATGTCGCTTTGACTTTTTTGGTATCTGGAACGGAGGTAGTAAAATACAATAGCACGCCGCACGTCCTTGTCAGACCATGTAACAGTCTACCACTCCTTAAGATTACTTTTGCCGGTTTGTTTGACTTTGTTCCGCTTTAATCAATCAGGTAGTAGCTAATAACCTTTTAGGAAATTTTTATTTCTATATATTTTATTATTTACTCCGTTCATTTCAAATTATAGTTCACTTTGTTTTTTGTTCAAATCAAACTTTCCAGTCACATCAATATTTGCATCGTCAAATTTATTTCATTGAATTATCCATTAAATATGTTTGGAAATTGTATTTATTTGAACCTGTAGGTGGTAATATTTTTCTCAAAAAAAAACTCGTTTAAAACCCGAGAGATTTGATTTTGGACAAAGTCAAAGTGAACCATAATTTTGAATGTTTAGGAAGTATTATAATATATAATATAAGAGTACCTATGTTACAAGTCGTTAAAACTAAAATATATTATGATATTCAGAGATGCACTATTTGAATACGCCAAACAAGTGAAAGATTTGGGGGACAGGTTGTTTGAGCTGCTCTCCGAGTCCCTTGGGCTCAAACCGAGCTACTTGACAGACATAGAGTGCAACCAGGGACAGATTATACTTGGGCACTACTACCCTCCATGCCCCGAGCCTGAAGTCGCCATTGGGACGAGCCGGCATTCAGACTCTGGCTTCCTGACTATACTACTGCAGGACGGAGTTGGCGGCCTCCAGATCCTCCATGACGACCAGTGGGTCGACGTTACACCGACACCTGGAGCATTCATCGTCAACATAGCCGATCTCCTGCAGGTAAGATGATGAGATCACCCAGGCATCAATTGAACACACACGTACTTGAATACATGTTTTAGTGTTTTTTTGACTGATTTTTTTTCCATTGAATTGATTGGCATCTTCAGTTGATCTCTAACGACAAGTTCAGCAGCGTCGAGCATAGAGTGATAACAAAGAATGCTGAACCGAGAGTTTCGATCGCGTGCTTTTTCAGCACTCATTTCCACCCCGCTTCGACGAGAATGTATGGCCCAATCAAGGAGCTGCTGTCCGAGGAGAACCCTCCTTTGTATGAGGAAACCCTCGTCAGAGAGTATGTTGCACGTTACTACTCCGTTGGCCTGGATGGCAAGCAGAAGACTGCTCTAGCTGATTTCCGGTTGTGAATTCTGAACGAAAAGAGAAGACTGGTCTAGCAGAAGATGCAAATATTGGGACAATCTGTATCGTGTAATGAACTAATGATACCAAAGAGAAGATGAACTGAAATCAATCTGGTTCCTGGACGCGTATATTTCTGTAACACATAATAAGAACATAAGATGTTTGTTTTCTTTGCCCTTGAGCATGTACTGCATTTCTTTTTCAATTCCCATATTCCACTCATAGACAAGATCATTTTGAAGTTTTGAACAGAGGACTCAAAACCTATTTTGACTGATGATTGATGAACAGAAATGCAGAAAGTGCTCTGATTCCAGTCCACATACAACCACTCGGTGTCTTGAGCTCCTCAAGCAAAAGGTATCCCTGAACCTGAAGAAGCCTTTAGTTTAGCATCACATGGAAATTGCTCTTCTATCTATTCACTCACGTTTCGTGGCATTGTGCTCAGTCAAGGAGCTGCTACTCTACGCTACAAAAAGGCCAAAGAGAGCTCACACGAGAGGTGATCTCTCTGTCCTTTGCAAGCAGTCAAGCACAACATTTCAGAAATCTCTGTCGACTAAAAATGATTCTAATTATGCAATCGATGATTGATCGCATCACATGGAAATTCTGCGTTCCATCAAGAACGAGGATTGGGCTGCGAACAGAGTACTTGCTGGAGACCCACCGGAGGCTTCCTTCCGCTGCGCCGCCATTGGACGCGGCGTCAACTCTGCTGAACCTCACCCTGAAGTCTGTCTTCTGGTTCAGAGCCGAACTCCAGCCTCGGTGGCACCACCTCAACGGCGACGCTTGGCGGTGCCACGACCTCCGCCGTGTAGGCCGAGACAGCCTGACCGACGTTGGTCACCGTGCGCCTCACCTCGACCACCGGCGCAGCCGCCGTGAGCGTCACCAGGAACGACGGGTAGTTGAGGTCCTTGCCCTAGATCTTGCTGACCGTCGCGCAGCTCACGTTCTGCAATGGCTTCGTGATGATTTCGCAATGGATGATCGATCGAATCACTAGTACTAGTACTAGAATAATATGTTTCGTTGAAACTTGGACCCGAAAGGGCAGTTCTGTCGGTGAAATCCCCTTACTCTGCTTTAGGCCTCGTTTAGTTGCGGGCGAAATCGGCGCCGCCCGAGGTACTGTAGCTACAGTAATCGCTGTAGCATTTCGTTTGTATTTGGTAATAATTGTCCAAACGATGACTAATTAGGCTCAAAACGTTCGTCTCGCAAAGTACAACCAAATTGTGCAATTAGTTTTTGATTTCGTCAACATTTAGTACTCCATGCATATACCGCAAGTTTAATGTGACGGGGAATCTTCTTTTTGCATAGTGCCAAATTCTGGAATTTTGAGGAACTAAACACCCCCTTAATTCAAATACAGGTTCCCACTTAAACAAAATGGTTTCGAGGTTAAAGGCTCTACTGAATATTAAAAATTTTCTTTGGTATCTTCGTAGAGGAGTGATTCTAAGGAAAGGTTACTTAGGTCATGTTTAGATTCCAAAAATTTTCAACCTAAAGTGTCACATCGAATCTTGTGGTACATGCATGGAGTACTAAATATAGACGAAAAAAAACTAATTACACAGTTGGGTGAGAAATCGCGAGACGAAACTTTCGAACCAAATTAGTCCATAATTAGACACTAATTATCAAATACAAACGAAAAATATTACAGTAGCCAAACCCAAAAAAATTTAGGAACTAAACACGCCCTTAGCCAAACGTAATTGGTAAGGTAGTGAAAGGTGTTGGTTTGTCGCAAAAATAAGACAATTAAGCATTTGTTCTTTCAATGTCATTTTGCCCAGGTACGGTTTGGAGCTGCATACAATTGGTTTAAGCCTTTGCCAACCTTGTAGTATTTCTCATATGTTTGGACGTCCCTATTTTTTACTATTTGGTCTTTTTTTTAAGAAAATTTATCTTTGATTTCTTGGGAGACTTAAACTCATTTTTGACTCTAGGGGTCGGCGCCATGAATCCTAGCGCCGAGGCACCACAGATCTTGGCGTTGATGTGTCTGGCCGTGCACTGCAGGAAATCCTAGGTGGTGTTGACGTGGCCGGTACCTCGGCGCCAGAATACATGGTGCCGAGCTCGACGTCGCAGATCTTGGCGCCGAGCTCGGCGCCATGTATTCTGATGCTGAGCATGCATTCAAAGCAGCCCCCAGTACCATATGTCTCCGTCCATCGAGGACTTCGCCTCGTCGACCGATGCGGCGCTGCGTCCCACGGGCTCACGGAGCAAGCGGAGGTAAGAGAAGGGGAAGCGAGCGAATCGATTTGAATCCATCTCGATCATGTAGGAACGTTCGTCTCGTAAAGTACAACTGTAGCTACAGCGACGTTTTGTTTTTATTTGATAATAATTGTCCAATCGTTGACTAATTAGGCTCAAAACGTTCGTCTCGTAAAGTACAACCAAACTGTGTAATTAGTTTTTGATTTCATCAACATTTAGTACTTCATGCATGTACCGTAAGTTTAATGTGACGAGGAATCTTCTTTTTGCATAGTGTCAAAGTTGGAAATTTAGTGGAACTAAACATAGCCGTAGTAGTAGCAGCGTATTGTAGGCTATGCTAGCTACTCCTAGCTGTAGCACGTCGTAGTACGATCTGGCAACTCAATCGCCATCAGTCACGTCCGTGCGGCAGCGCAGCCTGCCGTGCGAACGGCACGTCACTCGCTGTTCGGCGGACGTGGCTGCCGTTGCACTGCCTCCGGCTCTGGCCGGTTGCCCATGCACGACAGCTCCAGCGATATCGACGACTGACCATCTGACACCAAAGGGACGGGACGAGGCAAGGGGGCAGGGGCATCATCACGCCTACCGGCTACCGCTTCGCTCTCGCCGCGCTGCCTGTTTACCAGCTGCCTGTAATGGAAAGAGAAGCCTGCCTGTAAGCAAAGCGCTACAGCTGCATGTTCTCCCCAACTGTCACTGCGGTGCAGGCATTCAGCCTGTTCGGTTGGCTGGTTCGTTTTGTTGTTGGTTCGTGAAGAAATACTACTGACTAATTTGTGTGAGAAAAAATACTATTCCGACTGAAAATTTACGATCGTTTACGGCAAGCCACAGCCAAACCAGGCAGCTGCCTGCCCATGCCCAAATGCCCATGTCCATGCCAATACTTTTCAGAGCACTGACCTACTACTACACCGATCGGTGCTGTGTGTTAATAATTAGTTAATTATTAAGCAAGGTGGATTAACAAACACCGAGTACTACTTGATAGTACTCCTTCCTGCTACATAAAATAAAGTGATCTTGTTGCGCATGCTTTGAGACTGATGAAAAAAGTCGATCGCTTGCGTTGAAAAAAAAAGAGCACGCACGTAACTGTACTCTTCTGCCTGCATGCAGTGCAGTGCAGCTGCAAGGATGCGGCAGCTTTGATCGACGCGGACGGTGCGTGGCTTTCGCGAATTCCAAGGTACAAGATCTTCATCGTCTGCTGCTAGTGTAGGAGTCGTATCTCGGCAACCTGGCTCTACTCTATTTTTTTGCTCTTCTGTTTTTGAGTCCACGTGTCTCATTTAGATTGGGGTTAGGAATCAGTATTCGGTACTGTAGCACTTTCGTTTGTATTTGACATTTATTGTCCAATCATGGTTTAACTAGGCTCAAAAGATTCGTCTCGTAATTTACAATTAAACTATATAATTAGTTATTTTTTTATCTATATTTAATACTTTATATCTGTATCAAAGATTTGATGTGATAAAAAAAAAGTGAAAAAACTTACGATCTTAAGGCCTGGGTGGCCAAAGCCCAAAGGAAAGGCACGCAGCCAGAGACCAAAGGTATCTCGGCTACCTGCCGTGAGAAGCAGTAGCCGGTAGGCGTGATGATGCCCCTGCCCCCCTCGCCTCGTCCCGTCCCGTCCCTTCGGCCAGTCGTCGATATGGCTGGAGCTATGGTGCAGGGGCAACCGGCCAGAGCCGGAGGCAGTGCAACCGTAGCCGCGTCCGCCGAACAGCCAGTGACATGCCGTTCGCACGGCAGGCTGCGCTGCCGCACGGACGTGACTGATGGCGTTTGAGTTGCCAGATCATACTACGACGTGCTAGCAGATAGGAGTAGCTCGCTGCCGCACGGACGTGACTGATGGCGTTTGAGTTGCCAGATCATACTACGACGTGCTAGCAGATAGGAGTAGCTAGCGTAGCCTACAATACGCTGCTGCTGCTGCTACTACTACGTGATCGAGATGCATTTAGCCTTTACCTCAACTTCTAAAAAGTTGCTATATCTGTCATATCGAATATTTGCGGCCCGTGCATAAAGCATTAAATATAGATAAAAAGAAAAACTAATTGCACAGTTTGGTGGGAAATTGCGAGACGAACGTTTTGAGCCTAATTAGTCCATGTTTGAATACTATTTACCAAATAAAAACGAACATGCTATAGTAGCCCCAAAATCTAAATTTCTCCGACTAAACAAGGGCTTAAATCGATTCGCTCGCTTCCCCTTCTCCTTCCTTCCTCCGCTTGCTCCGTGGGTCCGTGGGACGCAGCGCCGCACCGGTCGATGGAGACATGCGGCACTGGCGCACACTTTAAATGCATGCTCGGCGTCAGAATACTCGGTGTCGTTTATTCTGGCGAGATACCGGCCACATCAACGCTTATGATTGACCAAACACCTCGGCGTCAAAATCTGTGGCGACGATACGTGTTACCTCGGTGCCATGACTCATAGCGCCGACCCCAGGATCCAAAAATGAGTTTAAGTCTCCAAAAGGGCCAAACATAAATTTTCTTCGAAAAAAGACTAAATAATAAAAAATACGGTTTGGACGTTGGCTTCGGGGGTTGGGAGGTACGTAAAACCTTTAGTTCTGTTAGGGGCGGCAGCTACATGTTGATCGTTTTGTTTATACAGAAATGATTTAGTATTTGAAAAGAAACATGTTTATTCTCCTTTTCATGGCACATTCGTTTATCCGTTGGCTCCTTACTTGGCTTATCCTCCATAAGCTTTGGCTTTGGTTATAATGGCATTGCAACAATTAGCGCAAGCGGTCATGGTATTTTTCTTCTATGTACATGGGTAGCGATCTATAGCCTGTTTGGCTGGGCTTATTCCCTCGTAAACGATCGTAAATTTCTAACCGAAATAGTATTTTTCTCTCACACCATACCAGCCAGCGGTACTTCTTCACAATCCAGCAACGAACAAACCCAGCCAAACGAACAGACTGCTAGTCTTAAGTATTAGTAGTCATTAAACTGCTAGACTCTCCTTTATCTTTGTTTATGCCGTGTTTTTATAGAGAGGCCGGAAGTGGCTCCACGAATTTTATATCAACTCAGTGCAATGACTATGAATTAATAAAAGCCTTCTTTTATATTAAAAAAGGGAAAATTAGTTTCATAGCATCAAAAGATCATGACATTTGGAGAATACCACCGAAAAATATCCGTCACGAAAAGTACCACTGAAAGAATGATCTGTTAGCGTCAAATAGCATTCGGTCACGCTGGCTGCTGTCGCCGTGAATCCCTCCGTCAGGCACCTTTCTTTCTCAATCCAGTGGCTCTTTGTCTAGCATGCAGCTCCATCGCCCAGGACCAGCTGTGGTAGCTGCGCGCTTGCCGCCGAGAACTTAATCGCCATCATGTTGCCGAGGATGGAGGCCGAGTGCCTCTGGCCAAGCAACGCTTTGTGGCCGGGGACAAGGTCACCTCCCCGCACGCACACCACACCGAGGTCGAGGTCGAGGCTAACGCCGCCACGCTGCGCTATTGGGCGCGGCGCGGCACCCTCATGCGCGAGGTCGCCGACGGGCAAACCATCAACATCACCAAGATTCGGCCCGGCTTCACGAAGGTGCGCCTTCAAAGACGAGCCCAGCGTCGCAATTGCCATTGATGACTTTGGGTGTCAAGGTCCAGCAATGATCGTTCCGCACCATGCTTTGGAGAATGGTAGCGCCACGGCAAGGTGATGCCGAGCTCACCGAGAGTGTGAGAAGTCGATCCGACTTCACCGAGCTGTGTCGCCCGGGATGGAGGTGTTCTTCTTGTGTTCTTGCTTTATTTCCTCTCCTTGTTACTTTGTTAGTGACATTGCACATTGCATCAACACAGGCAGGCCGCTGCGGTGAGTAGAGCAAGGGCGCAAGTGTGGCGGAGGTGGTTCGACTTTCGCGGTGCTTGGCACACTACGACGACTTGTGCTCGTGGGCGGTGGGCTGCATGCATGGCTGCTGCTGTAGTAGCAATGGCGCTTGCTCGCCAATTGCCGTCTTGCAGGATGGGAGGGGGTGCGGTGCCAGATGGCTTCTCCCGTTCACGGGCTTTACGCCTTCCCAAGTGGTGAGCGACGACGAGAGAGAGAGAGAGAGAGAGAGAGAGAGAGAGAGAGAGAGCAGAGCAGCGGTGGCACTAAGCTCCGGCCTTGGTAGCGGCATTGGCTTCGGCGTGTGCGGGTGCTCCGTCTTGACCGTGACTCGGCTCCGGTGTGGGGAGCTCCGGCAGGCCACAGTGTACTGTGGGCTGCGACCTCTGCGGCAGAGTCGCGGGTGGTGCGATGCACCTTCGACGGCGGAGGGAGGCGAGCCGGGTGAGTGTGGTTCCGCAACGAGGGCGTTGGCGCTGGAGTGCTCGGCGGCGGCAAGATTCGAGGCAGGGCGGTAGCGGGCTTGAGCTTCGACGTCCGTGGGGACGAGGCTCACGACCGCATGCGCGGCGCAAAGTTGGACGCGACGTACATGTCGTTTTTTAGTGAAACGGAGTCCACGGACGGATGCCAACAAACGAGGTTAACAGTGAAAGTAATGGAGTGCTAGATTGCAGAACGGATATGCACTTTTAATGATATTTTACGGTGTGACGAACTTTCCATGCTATTTTCTGAATGAGACTTTTCCTTGGGTGCCATTATAAAAAATCGCAATCCCCTGTGTGCCCCTGGAAAAATTCAGCGGTTTTCAGCGCCACTACTCCAACTTTTTCGGGTCCTCCATGCCACTTCCGTCAGTTCAGGCTCTAACGCCGTCAAACTGCAGGTGTGAAAAGACGAAAATGCCCTTAAGTTCAAATATGTTATTAATTTTTTTAAGTATCTTAACGACTTCAAATGAAAAAACTCAAAACTAAAAAGTTGTAGATCTCGTCGAGATCTATAATTTTCATATAAAAATTATTTTTATTTAATTCCGTAAAAAAAAAATGATTTGATATGATTAATATATCTTAGAAAATCATCATATTTTTTTTGCGGAATTAAATGAAAATAAATTTTATATGAAAATTATAGATCTCGACGAGATCTACAACTTTCTAGTTTTGAGTTTTTTCATTTGAAGTCGTTAAGATGCTCAAAAAAATTAATAACATATTTGAACTGAAGGGTATTTTCGTCTTTTCACACCTGCAGTTTGACGGCGTTAGAGTCTGAACTGACGGAAGTGGCATGGAGGACCCGAAAAAGTTGGAGTAGTGACGCTGAAGACCAGTGAACTTTTTCAGAGGCACACAAGGGATTACGATCTTTTATAATGGCACACAGACAAAAGTCTGTTTCTGAATCTCGCGTAACCGCTCTCGCGGTGTGGCTCGCAGAAGGTCATCCCTTCCTCCAGTCTCCCTAGCTGCAGCAGACGCCCCCCCAGCCACGGCGACGTCATCATGTCCGTCGCCCCGTCCTACGACCGCACCGAAGAGCTCCGCGCGCTGGACGCAACCCTCGCCGGCGTCCGTGGCCTTGTTGCTTCTGGCGTGAAGCAGGTGCCTCGCATTTTCCGCGTCCCCTACCCGGAGGAGCTCTTGCCACTCTGCCATGAACAACCGCCAGCGGCAGCGGCGGCGGCGACCGTCCCGGTGATCGATCTCAGCGGCGACCACACAGCTGTGGTGGACGCCGTCCGCGGGGCGGCGGCGGAGTGGGGGTTCTTCCAGGTCACGGGCCACGGGGTGCCCAAGCAGGTGATGTCAGCAGCAGTGGCGGCGATGCGGGCATTCCACGAAGCCGACGGCGGGGAGGGCAGCGACAAGGCGCGGCTCTACTCGCGGGAGCCCGGGAAGGCGGTCAAGTACCACTGCAACTTCGACCTGTACCAGTCGCCCGTGGCCAACTGGCGCGACACGCTCTACCTGCGCATGGCACCCGACCCTCCCGCCGCCGACGAGCTGCCGGAGATCTCCCTGTGAGCATCCTCTCTATTACTCTATAGATAGTCTGCCGATACTTGCCTCACCATACCGTGCCGGTGGTGCCTAGCCAAGGCAGGATTGCGATTCGTCAATAATGTATCTGGCTTTAAAATATCGTTAGGTATGTAGGACCAATGATTGATAAAATCAGGCTGATTGGATCGTTCGTGATGTGGCGATCCTGTGTGTAGCATGTGCTTAATAAAAAAATGAGCGATAGGAACGGAATGGGTACTAAACTACACTCGGAAACATATTCGTTTTGATTTGCAAACAAATTAAACAGGACTTAAGAACGTATTAGAAACTTTAGCGGTACTTTTCGTCAACAAGAAGACCACGTATACCTCTCTCAAGAAGAAAACTACATATACTCATATAATAATATAATAATTTTATTTTTATAGCTTTCATACGCACCAAACACACATTTAACACTCATGCTAGTATTTTAACATACTCGTCATATACTCATCAAATAGAAGGTGCGATGTCAGGGTTTAAATCCTGGGTAGCGGTCCACTAGACAACCCAACCACTCGACCATAGACCCACTCGCTGGTCTGCCGATACTTGCCTCATCGTACCCTGCCGGACATCTCCCGGCGGTGCCTAGCCAAGGCAGGGTTGCGATTTGTCAATAATGCATCTGGCTTTAAAATATTGTTAGGTAGGAGAACCGATTGATAAAATCAGCATGATTGGATCGTTTGTGATGTGGCGATCCTGTGTGTAGCATGTGCTTAATAATAAAATGAGCATTTGGAACGGAATGGGTACTAAACTACACTCGGAAGCATATTAGTTTTGATTTGCAAGCAAATTAAACAAGAATTAAGAAAGTATTAGAAACTTTAGCAGTACTTTTCGTCAACAAGAAGACCACACATACCTCTTTCAAGAAGAAAACTACATATACTCATATGTAATAATATAATAATTTTATTTTTATAGGTTTCATACGCGGATAGTACCAAACACACATTTAACACTCATGCTAGTATTTTAACATGCATACTCGTCATATACTTGTCAAATAGAAGGTGCGACACCAAGATTTGAATCCTTACGGTAGCAGTCCACTAGACCACAGGCCCGCTCGCTAGTCTGCCGATACTTGCCTGACTGTACCCTGCCGAAGATCTGTCGGCGGTGCCTCGCCAAGGGCAGGGTTGCGATTTGTCAATAATGCATCGGGCTTTAAAATATTGTTAGATAGGAGCAACGATTGATAAAATCTGCATGATTGGATCGTTCGATCCTATGTGTAGCATGTGCTTAATGATAAAATGAGCAATAGGAACGGAATGGATACTAAACTACACTTGGAAACATATTCGTTTTGATTTGCAAGCAAATTAAACAGAAATTAAGAAAGTATTAGAAACTTTAGCAGTACTTTTCGTCAACAAGAAGACAGCATATACTTCTCTCAAGAAGAAAACAACATATACTCATATATTATATATAATAATATAATAGTTTTATTTTTACAGCTTTCATATGCGGATAGTACCAAACACACATGCTAGTATTTAATGTACTCGTCATATATATACTTGTCAAATAAATATGGACTACTTTTTAACTTTTAAATAATAATAATATAATTGGCCTAGCTTGAAGCACATGAACTTTTATCAGTTTCTATATTTTTATGTGAAACATTTATACGATTCCTATAAAATTTATTCGTTACAGATGAATCCTTGATTCATTTTTGACACCTCAGAATTTATCTGTTACTACATTATTAAAAAACCTCTCTACATTATGTCGCAAAAAAACGCTCTATATAAGGGCATGATTAGTAGAGATCCAGCAGCTCCAGGTCCACGAAAAACATCTCTAGATTCACTTTTGTAAGCCAAACACTTTTAGCTCCACCGATTCAAGATAAAAAATACATGGATCTCACTCCAGATCTATGGATTTTGTGGAATACCTCATGGGTGCCACTACTACAGAAATTTTAACCGAGGCGAGCAATTTAGCTTAACCGAAGCTGGCAAACCAACCGCCTTGGTGCAAAGGTCACGATTAATCGTGGCCTTAACCGAGGCGGTTGGCCAACTGCCTCGGTAAATGGGCATTATAACCCAACCGCCTTGGTTAATATCGAAGCGGTTGGCTAAAGGCGCCCTCCTCAGTTAAGATTTTAATGGAGGCAGTTGTTATTAATTGACCGCCTCGGTTAATGATTTCCAGATTAAAAAATACTTTTTCAAATTATAATTTGAATTTAAATTTGAATTTCGTTAATGAAAACACGGATAAAGCAAAAAATAGATGACAAACATATATTACATTCATTCTCGTTCGACAAACCAACATTAAGTTATTACATTAGTGATGTCTTCATCATTGTTTCACAAACACACATCATTCATACATGAGCAACTAAGGTTAGTCATACATATCAACTTTCCTTGGGAAAGAGGTCCGGCAGAATGTAATCCGAGATTCGTAAATGGGTGCTCCATTTCCTGATCCTCTCGAAACTTTGGATCCCGCGCTAACTCGCTTTCCATGTTGAAGAACGTATTCCCTTCATGCGCGCTCTCTGTGACAAACTTACATATGTCTGCTACTGTTTGTCTGAAGTTTTGGTCGACTTTCTCCCTTCGCCACCATCCTTATGCTTTCTTGAGCTGCCGCCAACTTTTGCTGTATCTGCTGCATGTCCTTAGGTACTCGCAAACGTAGAATCCATATAGAACTGAACCATAGGATTGTTTGGCGCACTGCACGATGTATAATACACAATCATTAGAACATATATAGAGAGCAGTAGGAGGACAGTATAGTATAAGAGTAGTAGTAAGAGTAGTAGTAGGTATAGGAGTAGAGATAGCAGCAGCAGCAGTAGTAGTAGTAGTTGGGATCTTACCAGGAACTCGCGCGCCTGAGTTTTAGTTTCGTGCCATTCTTGATCTTCTTCTTCTCAGATCTTCGATCATAGCGGTTGGGATCTTGCACGTACTTCTTATAAGCGTTGTACGAAAAACCACTAGTGTCAACGACAATTTGAACATGTATATTAACTGTAAATGAATAAGTTCCGTCACTTACTATCTCAATACGCTTTCAAAGTGCTTGTACCCTGCTTTGTTTGTGTCCCGCAAGGAGTCAAATATACATGCCTTTCCATCCTGAGGATAGATTATAAATGCAATCTAGTAGCCCATTATGCCCTGCCTGCACCATTCACACAATAAAGATTTGAAATGTTCAAATATGAGAAGTCATGATCTCAGTTGCTATATAGATGTTCCAAGTATATTTTGGACTTACCCGAACTGGTGGGCGGCCATGACACACCCATTTCCCCGTATCTTCTTCATGGCCTTATAGATGTGCATTCCCGCCTGATACTTATATTCGATTACTAGATCTTCCCTGTATTTCTTTCTCTCTTCTGGGTCCAAGTTCACCAGCTTTTCATGAGTGTCTGGTATATCATAACCCACGATGGTTCTCTCTGTAATAAGCATCGAAGAGAGATAGATAATATCCTTGCCCAACTCCTTGCTTACATAGGCCTGCATCCTATAAGGAAACGTTATCATGGCATTACTAGTTTGTTCCTAAAGTACCTCCAGCGATGCAGTGGTGTCAAAGTTGTAATTAACTTACAGGGCAAATATGGTGACTTGGGCGACGTCGAGGTCCTTTCGCCGTAGTAGTCTATGCATGTCGTGGAAATCTACGATGACTTCACCATCCATGGGTGTGTGGAAGTACTCCACCGAAATGTTGATGATGAAGTTTTCCAGGCCCACTTTCGCTGCTTCCATGTACCACAGATGGAACCTCCTTACCTCCCACTTCTTGTCAAGGAGGTCGCCCAAGGTCAACATGAACTTCCCATGCACGTAGTTTTCGGGGCAATCATCCGATCGGGGCCAAAACGACGACGGTGTTTTCGGCCTGCAACACCGGGGCTTGAGATGTTAGGGAGTGGAAAAAGCAGATAACATCTCAAAATGAATTATGGATTGCCTATGCTTGCTAGTAGCATACCTTTCAAATGTAGTTGAGTATGGGTGCTCGTCGGCTATTTGATAGGCTACCCAACTCGACTTGGTGTGGTTTGGTGGTATGGCCTCCTCTTTATCCGCAGGCTTCCTCAGCGGGGGAGGACATTGGTTTGAGCCCTGGTTCAAACCACTTGTAGGCGGTGGTGTCACATCGCCTGATGCTGCCCCTGTGCCTCCCTATGGATTGCTGTTGCCGGGAGGTGGACTACCTGGAGGACTAGTGCTTGGGCCGCCAGCATTGTTGTTGTCATCGCCGCCGCTGCCGTCGTCGTCGTCATCGTCACCCGGGTCACCCGGGAGAGACGACGATGGGTGTGAGGGCTGTGACGCCGGCGTCGGCATGTCCAAGACAATGTCGCTCTTGTTCCATAGCATGCGCATGCCGATAGTAGCGCCGATGAACCTGTACCCCTCTTTAGTGGGAATGTCAATTTCATCCTCATCGAAATCTGGGTTCGTCCACGTCACGTCCTCCCTGGCCTAGTCGGGCGGGATGGGCTTGCTGTCATACGTGGTGCCACTTTTGGGCGGTAGTGCCATTCCCTGGGCCACTTCTTTCTTCCTCTGTGCCCTGCCTAAGGGCACCTAGAGCGTGCAGGTCGTTGGTTCCACGTTGCCATCGACCGGGTATCCTGGGAGTTATCCGGTCCTCAGCTCCATCTACCCTTGTACGGTGGCTTGACCCTGTAGCGGCAGCACGCCAGCCTGGCGAAACATCTGCGTCCTCAGCTCTACCATCTTGGGGTAGGTGCTCATGAAAGCGTCTTGTATCTTCCCCATGATCATGTCCTTGACTGCCTCATCGCGGCCTTTCTGGATGAGCCCTTCCTTGTACCTCTGCCTCGTGTGGTAAGAGCTGGCATCGGATTGCCAGGCCTCCATGTCCTTCTAGCTCTGCCTCGAGGAAACCCCACGGACACGGCCGTGGTGCTCGGGGTTTCCAAGCGCCTCAGTTAG